AATTTTGATAGTGCTGACTGTCCGTTGTGATCATTCAAATCCCAACACCTAGATTATTTATCCAGCCAGTGTCCATCAAAACCTCATGGCCTGATAGGTTAGGCCAGGGGTATTCAGCAGGAAGAAATTAGGCTATGCTGTTTTCAAGATTTACAATTTGCTGTCAGAAATCCCATACAAATTACAGTTACTGCCAGGGTATGTTGTACAATGTCAAATGAAGATAATTACCTGCCAATCTGCATAATTAGTGCCCGCATCCCCCTAATTCCCACTTTACGAATGCCTATTTTATTCGGGTAAATAAGGAGAATTCTTTTCCTTGTCACTCTGCTAAATCATGCAAAATATTTTGATTGGTACATAAGCTAGCCGGTGGGGGGGAATGTTAGTATTGGCAGAACTTTATGTTTTTATTCAATCTGTGAACAATTCAATAAGAGTAAAACCCTTCATACATGGCCCATCTAATAGTTTTTTCACCTATTGCAGGTATTATGGGAATTTTGTGATGAATCTTATAAAACATTTGTAAACCATAATGTGTGCTATAAATGTAAGATACTGTTGTGCTAAGTCAAGCTTCTAAGTAACTAGATGAAACTTCCAACAAATCAGAAATGGTAGAATAATGGAGACGTAAGCCTTGGAAGGAATGCACACAACTTTTGTTGGCCTTCTTCATGTCTACCTTCTTTCTAAATGTATCACTGTGTTTTTACATGTTTGAGGTTTTTAAAAGAGTATATTTTTAACCTAAGAATGCAATTTTAGGGTAAAGAGAAATATATATTGGTCAAATCTAAATAGAAAATTTAAAACAAGAATACGCAGTGATTTCATTTTATGTACTGTTCCACTGACTTATGTACTGATGTTCAGTTCTCACCATTAGAAATGCAGAAAGCCAAATGAATGCACATACCATTTGTTCACCTCATTACAACTTGCGGCAGACTTTCTCACCATACTTCACTCTTAATTCCTTTTTCAGAGAAGGAAGGCTGCCAGCCACTATCAATTTACAAAGTTATCTTTGATTTAAGGAAGAACATGTCATTCTATATAAAGTACATTGGATTTTCATCCAAGAGAGGGTAAAAAATGGTAGAGAAACTTCCATGCAAGGATCTTGAGAATGCCTAATTTCCTACATAGGTAGGGGTTAGCAGTACTGTTGTGAGATGGACCAAAAATTCCATAGAATCTATTTGTATATGTAGAAAGTATTTTCTTTCTCTTTTAAGTCTCTGAGTTGGATTAAAGAAGAGAATTTACCTGTTTGAATAGATACAATTAAATCAATAAAGAAGATAGCCATTATAATTAGGAGTAAAATCTGATAACAAAGAGTAAACAGAATAGCCATATATATATATATATATATATATATATATGCTGGTTGATGGAAAAAATATTAAAAGCGGAGAAAGCTTAACTAAAGAAAAAAATAAGCACAGTAAAAATTCCATTTTTTGCTTCAAATTTTTTTCTCTACATCTCGATATAAGGCTTTTTTTTCATTTCTAATGTTTTTGTAGTCACTACTTTAGATTAAAACCAAACATTTCCTTAACAGAGACACATTCTGACTTAGAATTAGTTATACCTTAAACGTGAAATTTCTCTAGATAACACCTGAAAAAATCAATCCTTATATTAATGATAAGTTCCTCTATTGCCCACTTAACATGTAAAAGCCAGCTAGGTAACTGTCTTAGGAATTATTTGGATGAAACTGAAAGATCCAAGTTCTACTCCGTTATAAAGCAAAGTAAAATGACAGGTATGCACGGTGTCCTCTAAATCAACAATTACTGTAGCATTATCTTCTTTACTCCATCTTAACTTAGCAGAAATCAAACCGTTTTAAATCAAACTGGTACATGCATCCATTCACTTCTCGTCCAATCAAAATGGAATTACCTGTCAACAGAGAAGTACGCTTACAAGTGTGAAACCATTTGACCATGTTATATTTTAATTTGCAGAGACAAAAATGACAAGCAATTTATTTACATAAAACTGTACAAAAGCAAATTAAATTATGTAAAGTATTTCATAAATAGTTGGACGAGTGTTTAATACATTTCGCCATGTTTAGCATAGTTGCGTGCATAGTGACTCATAATAAACGATGATAAATTGTTCTCGGCTTCACTATCAACATCCAAGTAGCAGAACAATAGTCAATGATTAACATTACAAACAGATCGTACCACACTGAATGCAAGTGCTTTAAAATGTAGGAAAAGTTGTCTGAAAGTAAACCCTAGGTAGCTGAAAGAATGAGGTTTTCCTCCAGATGTTAGATCTACCTCTACCTGGGTCACAACTGACCAGCTTAAAATATTCTTGATCATCTTCACTGTTTTTGTTTTTGTTTTCCCCCTAAGGACACATTGTATATTTATCATGGATACAATGTCCCTAAAATTACTTGGGTCTTCGGATTTCTCAGGCCTGGGTTTCGGATGGCTTGATTCTTGGAGGTTTCTTCTGGTCTGTGTGTTATTTTATTTTCCTATAAGAGAGCTTCCTAGGATAGCCTTTCAGCCAGACATCTTCAGTACCATCTTAGTTTCTCTTCCCATAAAAATAATGCCTCCTTTGTTTTCTGAAACTCAGGCAACAGGCCAGTCAGAAACCATACAGAAATGATATCTGGAGGTTCAGAATGAGCATTAGATTTTAGACTGAAGCTACAGACGTACACGTAGATTTTAATACACATAAATTTTTATAGTTACTCATTAATTTATAAATGTGTCCTAATGTATAATGCATGCAAAGTTCACTTGAGAGTCTTGTGTACAGAAAACAAGTATGGTTTATATACTGTACACCAAAATGAAACAGCAGCTAAAAGAAAAATAACAACAAAAAGGAAATAAAGAATAGAAATTTGAAATCAATATTTGACCTTGCAAAATGGACTGATTTCACCCCTGATAATCTCTCTCTGTGTTACTATTACAATAAATGCTTTAGCCTTCTAGTCAGAATTAAGCAGTCCATGTTAATGCCTTAGTTTTGTTTTATGAATGAACGATATTTAAGACTGGTCCATTATCTGAGTTTGTCAGAAGGCAAATTTTTAATATATTATTTATTATTTTCAGAAAATAAACATGGGTAAATATACAGGATCAAAAAAGTTGGGAATAGCCCATTTTCCCTCATTGTCCAAACCCAACAACCGTTTTTTTACCATAACAACAGGTATAAAAGGCACAGTTGCTTGTTTTGCATTCACTCATTTATTTTTTTTGTTTCTTTTTATTGATTTTTTTCAAAAGCACTCTATATATGGAGTGGCACTGGATTTAGCCTATTCAAAATAAAAGTCATACAAACACAAAATATATTTCTGTGTCATGCCAGCTCATTATATAATAAACATGTTATGAGAGCTAATTCTACTAGAATTACTGAGAATACTTACAGTACACTGAATTTTATTCTTTCACACCCATTTTAGTTCTAAAGAAAGACTCATGAGTTAAATGACAATGACATGGCTGTCTTGAATGTGGTGCAAACGTCATTGGGGAATGTGGATCCAATTAATCCAAAGGTCCAGTATGACCCGTATTAGCTTTATAGACAACGGAAGGGTTTTAAGATATAGTGAAATGAGCTATCTAATGGTTTCAAGTGTCTCATGAGAGAAAGAAAATAAATGCATTAAAAAAGTTTGTTGAACACCTGTGTTATGCAATTGAGTATTTGCTTTGTAACGTGCAAGAAAAAATATGTATACATTTCATAAGTATCTTTAGAAGTATTTTGTCTTAATAGGTACTTACAGATTATACAAGGCAGAACTGCTTTAATGCAGTTTCCTAACAAAGTACTAGAATTGCATCTTTCCATCATGTAAATAATAATCAAACATAAACATGTTCAATTATTGGTATTTTAGTCCAATGTTTTTGTTTCAATTACATATCTTCTTTCATCCTAACTATTATACATAAACTAACATCAAAATGAAAACTCCATTTATAAGAAAGAGCAGGAAATGACCCCAAAAGAGTAGCCCACCAAACAGAGAAGTGGTTTTCAAAGATAAACATTTTGATGACCTATAGTGAGTTCACAACCTCTAGTCCAGGCTGCCTCACCTTATAGTCTAAGAAATTCTGTAAAGAATAAAACTATCCAAAGCTACATTATTTCTACAGTTTGCTAGAGAGCCATCAGGCTATGTCCTAACCAGGTTGCAAACATTCAGTGTTGGGAACATTTGCGCTTTTCACCTGTTATATCCCCTATTCTGTCCCTGGATTGTCACTTCTGTCTGAATGTCCCAGCTCATAATTTCCAATTATGTTAAATCATCCTCTATAGAACAAACGACCCAAAGTCTGCATATTCTGTGGGGTTTTTTTTTTCCACTGAAAAAATTGCATATTTTTCCACTCTGAGATGTACATACAAGGAGACATATCACTGACCAGAACTCATTTCTTTCATGTTCCGTCTGGATTTGTTTTAAGACATATCCAATCATGTTCAGAATCACATTAGTGACAAATCAATTAGGGTGTCACCTTGTTTCAATGTTGTGAGTCTCGAAATAGTGCTATATTGCACAGGATTCAAAATTAATGCACTTGTGTTATATGAAAGAGTTCCTTAAACACATAAAAAATACAATTGATAATTTGAAACGTAAATAATAAGACCAGTAAGCATCACCTGGATACTAAAATGATAGTAGTGATTTTAACTTAAAAGACTGTATGCCAACATATCTTTCTTTCCCTAACTACCCACAAATATGGTTTTTACAAGTGGAATCTTCCCTGATAATAGGTTTTGAAACTAAACTTGAACCTTAACTAATTGTCTACTGTAATACCAAAAATACATCACTTTAGTTTCTCGTTTTCTGAGCTTTCAAAGAAAACCCATTTTAAAAGAGAATGCATGTTTTCAGGTATAGAGACAATGTAAAAGAAGCTAGTGTTTGAGTATTTCTGTGTGTGCATGGATTCGGTTGCTTTCGTTGCTTAATGGATTTCCACGTCAAGACCAAATCTGCTTCATGATATCCCTGATCTGCCGTGTGATCTTTGGCCTTTTAATGACACAATTGTTCCAGTTAGTTGATAACAGCGGTGCTGTTCTGAAAAATATATATATATAATTTTTACAAGTTATAATTAGTGTAATTGATATATGTGGTCAAGATTGTGTGTATACTAAGAATATCTGATGAATGTATGGGATTGAAGTGGATACCCCTGACTTGAAAAGAACTATGTATAAGCGAATTTGGGACTGCAATCTCTAACTGGGTATTGTCTGGCTGTCAGTCTTTGTTAGAATTTTAAAGCTGTGAGATTCTCAATATTCTTCTTATAGAGTCCCCCTTAATAAGAACTGTACTTTTACAGGAACGCTATCATTTTGGGGGGATTGCCTTTCATGGTGATTAATCATATTCTGATGGTATGTCTGAAATACATTTTACCTGATCTGTTCTTTGTTTGTTTGTTTTTCGGTTTTTTGCTTTTTGTGGTGTTTTTTTGACCAACCGGATGGCATTCGAACTAAATCAAAGTGACTAAATCATGCTTCAGCTTAGGGATAATGAGAGTGTATTGTGTTCTGCTAATCAGGCTTGTTACCATGAAAGAAACTTGCAACCATCTTTTTTTTTCCTCCTTGGAGGGGGATGGGGAAGAGGAATAGCGGGTGTTGGGAATAATCAGTGAGGGGGTTAGACATGCAAGTAACAAGGATGGTTTCTACATTGTACATTACAATCAGGCTAACAGTATCACTAAAGGCCTGATCTGGAGGCAGAAGTGGCAGGCAAAGTTTTGTCTCTTTGGTAGCCCCCTCTTTTTGATTACACGGTTTTTGTAAGGTTTTTTGCCCCTTATTCTCCTCATACATGAAAAGAACTTTGCTGTTCTTCTTTATAGCCTACAGGTAAACTTCTCTTCTAGTGAGAGTATTGACAGGAGATGGCTTGTATTCCCCTGTTTTTGTAAGGGGAATATCCTCAGGGTTGGCTTCCTCATTTTTGCTGAAACTAGCTGCACTGAAGGTCTCATAGGACGAGGTCAACTTTTTGTTTAGGAGGTTTCTATTGCGGTCACCCATGATGGCGGCCTCACCATTGGCCAGCTTTTCCTGGCTTCCTCGTTCATCAACAGGCATGAAAGTGGAGAGTTTGGGCTGGCTCCTCTTCCTCTCTGGAGAAGTGCGGACCGGCATCCAGCAGGAGTCTGAGTGGCCATATTCATCACACTCACGGGTACACTTCCCAGTCAGGGCTACATCTGGAAGAGGTCTTGAATCTGAAATTCAAGGAGAAGGTGATGTTAAAGTTGGACATTCTGCAACAGGCTTTCCTTATTTGCATGAAATTGGAAGGGGGAGATATATATATTATTTATCATATTATTTTCCTTTTTTCTACACCCCATAGTTCATCATTTCCATAGAACAGTTTTTATTTCATATCCATTAAAGATAAGGTTTTGCAAAAACATCAAATATTATGGAAAGAGAAGATTGAACAAACTAATAAATTTAAGCATGTAGAAGACAGGTACATATGCATTTGTTACAGGACAGGGACATGTGTATATTCTCAAGTAGAAATAAAGCACATATGTATAGTTGTCTGGGTATAAATCTTTCCACATGCATAAGAAGTTATTAAATCCAAATAGATAATTTTCTGTATTTATAAATTATCCCAGAAATCGTGTACTTTTGCCAATTGGATTCCTTCCTGCTTATACATTATTCATGGAATGCAAATATGCAAAACCTTATATTTAAAATACATTCTAAAACATCAGGATGACTCAGAAGTAGAACCTAAATTGACAGCACATCATGTGGTAAAAAGTAAAAAAAGCAAAGTACAAGTAGGTTAGGGGTGTGAACGTACTAGCAATATCATCACCTACCCCACCCTAGCCCACGCCCACTTCCCACCCACCATGCCAAATGACCTAATATGTGCTGTAGGATAATCCCTTAAATGTTCACATAGAAATACATTTGCCAATGTGTTTGCTGAATAGAAATGTTATGTGAAATGCAGTGCATTGGGTAAATGCAGTCAAGCTCCTAAAGTTTTGATGAAATAGCATGTAGGGCTAATTAATGTTGCTGCCTAGTGGAATGGGAGAAGTCTTCTATTACTATAAAGCTAAGTCATATCTAGACAGCTCTTAGGGATCAGGATTAGAGATGGAAATTAAGAATTACCTGTATATGTAAGTAAATTTGTTAATATGTGTCTGTCTTTGGAGAACAAGTATGTATTTTCTTGTTATTGAAGATTTTTTTAACAGACTTTGTTTTTATTTGAAAAAGAGAAAGAGAGAAAAAACAAAAACAAAACAAAACCCGGTCTTCCTCAACAGATTCTAAAAGAATAACCTCTAGAGTTTTATTTAATATATTTTGTAGCTTATTTTATTGCCAAACAAAAGAACATAATATGACTGTGCTCCAATTTATATCATATGGCATCACTTTTTTTTTTTTTTAACAAGGCTTTGGACTTAAAAGACGGACAAGTTTTAAGCTCTGCAAATATAGTCACAACAATGTAATCAGTGAGATTTGCCTGTACATGATCTTGGGTAGATTCGGTTTAAAATTAAAGGGGGTTATTTAAATGATCCCCCAAATATTTAGACCCTCTGCCTCTATCTGTACACACCATCCTCTGTACTTTAACATTACATACCTATTTTGGCTATCATTTGTACAGGCTATTTCAGAAGTTTTGCTCTGCCAAATCTCTCAAATGAAGGCAGTCCAATGCACACCATTTTTTCCTGTCGTGATGGATAACTGAAATATTGACATTTGTCAGCCCATTGATTTTTGAACCACTATGGCCTGAGATTTTTATGCTGTGTGCTGAGAGCTCAATGAGGAAGTTCCGGTGCTCTTCACAGGAATCTGGAATGACTTTTCTCTTTCCCAAAAGGCAAAATGCAAAGATAATTATTTACTGTCATTCCACATGCTATGTTGCCGTCTGACTTCTACATGGGAAGACCCTATTAATTTTATCATCAAGAGAAAAAGCACTTTCTTATTCATTCTTTTATGCCAAATTCCCTCCGTGTCTCTCAAATACACATTTTAGAAGAATTTAAAAAATCAAACTATTGGCAGATTTTATGAATGGTCTTTGTAATCTAGTTAGTTTAAATGAGCAAAATGTGAGTTCTTTTGAGAGTATTTTCTATCTTGGGATACTTTGTTTATCTGAAGCTGACCTAAATGCCTTGAAAAGGAAAAACCCTTATAAAAATGCAAAGTGCAAGATCAGACCTATTTTACTCTAAACATTCTTTTTTTTCTTCATTGCTTTAACAAGTTCAAACTTTTCTTTTTCTCATGTGATAGTGCCTATCAAAGACACAAGGAAATAATCAGGACTAAAGCTACCAAAACAGGGAAGATCTCTTTGAATGTGGTTGTCATTCCCTGCAGAAATGACCCAGAATGTTCTCCAATCAGCTAAGTTTACTTAAGTCTCACACAAGGTGTCAGTTTACTTACACAGTGATTTACAGATTCTCTGCTTTTCAGGGATTAATTTGTGTTTCCAGTTTCAAATGTGTAGCACTTTGTTTTTCTTTTGTTTGAGATGCATTTAGAGAGAGCTCAGAGAACTGTGTGATGATGCAAACTACTCTTACCTGTTGTTTTCCTTGTGTTCCTGAACTCTCTGTAGCTCATAAGAAATTATATTTATTTAGATTGATGCAATTTCTCATCAACTAGAAGTGAGAGGCCCTTCAATTTCTTCCCTCAACCTTTACTTCGTAGTCTGGATTATTTCCTGCTGAAACTGATTTCCTCTTATTGCTTTTAACAAAAGGCAACTTGTCTTCTCTGCCATCAGGCACATGTGGGCTGCCACATCTCTATCCAAGAAGCATGACTTTTAATAAGGATCTCCCGTCATTTCCAAAGTCAAACACTTGATTGGGGACCACAGTGGAAGTTGACAAGCCTAATTGGCTGAGACACGTTGCAGTTTGTCATCAGATTCAGAAAATAATCAAGAAAGGCTATAAGAGATTCATCACGAGCAATCAAAACTTCCAATCTTGATGACTCAAATGAATCCTCAAAAGAAACGCCAATGATTAACAAATGCAATTTGTATTATGTTGCAGTTTATTAAGGAGAGGCATGTGTGGAATAGTACTTTTCTGTGTTCTATATTTTCTTATTTTAATTATGCAAGTTTTTTTTTAACACAAAAGTTACACGGGGTCTTAAAAAATCATCAAAGACACTCCTTTCTCCCTTTCATAAAAAGACATACTCTTAAAATGTCCTATTTTGTGAAATTATAGAGGCAGACCTTAAACAACTGGTAACCTTCGAAATCTTTCAGTCTTTCACTGAGGATGTGGTTTTGATATCTAAGAACATTATTTCATGCTTTAGTTTAGTACTATTTCTTTTAAATTTGGACCTGAATGAAGATGGAAAACAGCTCATCATGACTCTCGTGAATTGGCATTGAGTAAATCAGTAAAAAGTAAAATATTCTATATCAAAATATAATGGTATTTTCTAAAAGTTCCTTAGAGCCCTCCTCTGCACCCCCCACTTAATCACCTCAAACCTCTGGAAGCCTGGATGCAGAAATGGTATTCATTAGATCCTATGGCCACTTTAGCATCACTCATGAAGTTCTGCTTATGCTATTTACTAGAGCCATTACATCCATTTAGAGAGTTACAGTCCTTTCTTAGACCTCAAGTTAATTTCCTTCTGAAAGTATGGTTTTAAGCCATCATAATAGCAAACAATTTTAGAACAATTTATAACACAGAAAGTGCTTTCCCACACTCATTGCCTTAACTTATCCTCTCAGCCACAGAGCAGGGAGGATGGCCACAGCCGGTGGGAGAGCTGAGGCCAAAGAGTAAGTGTTTTGACTTTCACTTTAGTGTTTCTCATAACACTACAATGCTCCTTCTTAAAATGTAACAGCTGGGTAGTTAGAGGTCAGTTACTGCTACTCACAGCCATAAGAAAAAGCTAGAATCTCCAAAGGAAGAGAAAAATAAAAAAATGTTTGAGCAGCACAGGAAACAGATGCCGCCAACTCACAAATTTTACTACTTAATGCCAGCAATGGTGCAACCTCCCTACATTTCCTAATGTAGAGGAAATGGTAACGAATTTAAGAATTCCACCTCTTTCTCTGAAAAGAAGCATATTTGCCCTTACTGGGCTCGGTGGATGAGTTGGACCTGGGAAGATGGTGGTACAGTGACCTCAACAAGAAGTGACAGGCAGACAATAAGTGGAATCATTAGAAATAACAAGGAAAGCTCAGATTTATGCAGGCATTTAATGTTTCCAGAAGCCGTCCTATACATTTCAGAAACCATACAGGCATCTTTATTACAGAAGAGAACTGTATGGTTAAGACTCTTGAAGACAGCTCTGCACTAGTAAGGATTTTCACATGCTGAGTTACGTATTCTGCCAGAATCCTGGGACTTTACTCCAGGCCCTTGGCTTGGGGCTGAAGATACAAGGATATTTTCATCTCCTAAGGGAAGGCATGAAAATGTTGCATTTAGTTTTAAAATATTTCCAATGAGGTTTTTTGCTTTTTTTTTTTAAGCTCAGATATTTCATGCTATATGCATAACTTGCTTATTTAACATACAAATTACTTAATTCTCTGATCATGTGATCAGTTGTTAGTCAATGTCTAGATGTTCACACCATTCCTACAATTTGTTCTTTAAATTCAAGCAATAGCATATTCTTAACATTACTTGAGAAAATCCTGCAATGAAAAATTGTGTTATTTTCTCCTTTTGGGGAGAAAAAAACACATACAGGCACCTTTTGCTTTTCTTTCTTTGTAAAGTATTTAGTTTTCTTTTTATACTTCTTGACTTTCTGTTATACGAAGATTTCTTTTTCTAGAGGCGTGTCTAAATTCTGGTGTAATTTGGTGGACAATGAAAAAGGTTTTACAAAAGGATGAACAAGAATAAAAAAGACAATTGGTAATGGTTTTCCAACAAATATTTTAACATTACCTTTACTTTCTTAATACAAATGAAAATCTCTCTTTTACTCAAGTGATTTAGTAAAGTGCTTGATTTTAAAATAGCTGTTAGAAAATGATTTACTTTTTCCTTATATAACACAGTTGAGAGCAAATAATTAAATAAGCCCTTTACTGGAAAATTATTATTGAAATCAATAAAGATTAGGTGTGAGGGGATGAAATCCAAAAGGCACATATGGAATTAGATCCTTGTCTTTTTGTCTGTTT